GATCTGCTTCACCAGCACCTCTGATATTTTTTACCAGTGCAGGTATAAACAGTGCAACTGAAAATTCAAGCTGAAAGAATGTGAATGCAACCAAGAATGGGAAAGCTATGTGAATGCCAATAATTCCTCTGACAATGGCAACCTTTCCCTTCTCTGCCTATTTTCTCCAGCAGAAACAGTCTGAAGTAGTACATGGAGGGGAGATTTCCAAAGAAAGACTTCATTTCTTGATCTTAGTTGGCCTATAAGTGAAGTGTGGCTTAAAGCCAGTGCACAAACATGGAGCCAGCTTTGGAACTGGTAATGAGACAAGACTGAACTTCTCTGCTGCTTAGCCAAATACCACTACTTTGAAGCACAACTTCTCTGATCCAAGGTAGGCTAACTTGAGAGGAGCTCTACCCAAGTGCAGGTTAGTCAAACTATCACTATAGTGAGAACAAGTCCCAAGACTCGTATCAGAAAAAAAAAAGCCCCTGTAAGATTTTATACATAAGAATATATGACTTATATGAGTCTATGCACACATGCGCACACGTGCGCGTACGCACACACACATGTTTATCTTCAGCCTTCTCTCATTAATTCTTTGTTTTTCTTACTGTTTTTCTTTCTTACTGAGAATACCCACATAATAAAAAGAGCAATGTAGCATGTTTCTCTCCTTGTCCTAATGAAATTAGAGCTAGCAAAATATTCTGTCACTGAGTGGGAGCCGTATTTATCAACCCCTTATAGAAGGATGCATTATCAACTGATGGATCACTGTGTTTCACTCTGCCTTGGATGGTCCAAAAACAATGTCACCCACAGATATATGCAAATGCTTTTCCTGGCATCAGGAAAGGGGGAAACTGCAGCTATTGTCAATCTCAATCAACTTAACAGCTTGATTTTTTTCTCTGTGTAATGTGACAAAATATTATTAAAAAATTGACACAACAATTAACAGTCTATGTCACAGGCACTGAGCAACTTCATTCTGAGCCTTATGTTCCAACAGGGAAGGTGGATTCCAGTGGTGCCTCCGACTGCAGAAAAATAAAGAGAGTATGTTCAGCTCCAGCATCAGTGGACTACAACAGTTTTAACTAGTTAGGAAGACAATCCATGGTAGGTATGTTACGGAACCGTTTTTGGCTCCTAGCTGTGCAATAGGAAAATGTTTTGTGCCATTAAACTACTGTAATTTGTTCCAGGAACATGCACTCTACATACGATAAAGATTAACAGCAAGACTGTATGTGGCAGGACAACAGTATAGGATATTTTGACTTTATGGTGTGAGATATTGTCTTTCACTTTGTGAAGCTGATCTCCCTACTGTGTAAGAATTAGCATTCATATTCACATTTTTACATGAAAGAAAAAAATATGTTGCAGTTCTCCATATGGTATAGGTCTTACTTTGTTTTGATTAAGCATTCCCTAATTCACTGCTTCCATTAACACGTTGAAGAGTCTTAGATTAGCATTTTTGGTGTATGTTTCTGGTCCGTTCAGTACAGAAACTAAGGCACTTGATAACAATCTATTGTTTTATTTCTCATAGAGGATATACTGCACCTTTTGATGGTCATGATAACTCTTTGCTGTCTTTATTGTTCAAGCCTAACATAAGCACTGAGTATTGTCATTTACTAAAACTCATCTTGCCTCAGAGACAACACTCTGTGAAATGCATTTCATTAATTATCATTATTCTTAAAAATCTGAGTTCTACAAAAGGAGCATTTCTGCCAGAAACACCATAGTGCAATTCTGCATAGTCAGTCAGTAACTTCCAAAATCCATAAATAAGAGTGGATTTTTTTCTGTATTTCCTTTTAGTTTTTATATGGGGTGAGTATAAAGCCTGTCTTTTTTACAGAAAATTGATGTCTGAAAAATACATTTTCCAAACAATACTACAATGACCAGGACAGTGCCATCACGGATGAAAGATAAACAGGTTAAGCTGAGTAGCAGTGCTGATCAAGCTCCGCTCATAGAGTCAGTGACAAGAGAAACCTCCAGTAATGTCTCCAACTGCTGTAGAAGTTATTGTCCTAGTCCTTATACATCTTCCACTCTGCTCCTGTGCTATGCCTTCAAGAGCTGAGTTATAAGTACAGCTTTTAGCCATGATAAGACTTAAAATGGAAAAAAAAAAAGTTGTTGAAACTTGCTGAATATTTGCAGTTTGCACTAACAAGTATTGTAAAGGGCTTGTTCTCACATTACTTAAAAGCTTACCAGTGATGCCTGGCGCTTTACAAATCTTTAACCAACCTTTTTTATGTCTCCTGATTTAATTGTACTTTTATGAATAGAATGCCTGTTTTCATTCTGCTGCATATTGACTAGTGCTGAAACATAAAATTGCTTCCTGGTATCATTAAACATCTAGTTTCTTTCACTGACACAGCCTTGATTTTGAGCAACTTCTAAAAGAGGAGTAAGGATCCAATCAGTACAGGAAACAATTTGTATTACTATACATTTATTTCTAGATCTTTAAAAAGAGGAAATCTACAGCAGCACACAGACTTACTAGCAGTGAGATAGGTTCAACATCAGGAGCTACTGTGAGAAGAAAAGCTGGAAGCTTCAGCCTGCTATACAAAATACCGGCAGAGCGCTGTTGCTTGACTTAAAGTTATGCAACATAATGTTACAGATGTTGCTACAGATTGGTTTGACTTCTGAAACTGCTACAATTAAATATAAAATATTTTCATTTTATAACTTCTTTTGTTTGAGTCTTTGAAAACTGACTTTTTAAAGATCAACTCTTGCTACTCTCTGAAGTGTCTAATTGCTACAGGAAGCTCTTAAAAAAAAACAGGAATCCTAGTGCCATACAACTACTATTCACAGTCAGAACTGGTAGTGAAAAATCAGTCTAATACTGTTCATAATAAGTTAAAATACAGTCAGCAGACATGCAGTTTGTTTTCTTATTGCATGTATTTTGAAGCCAGTATCTTAAAAAGAGTACCAGAAACAAGTTCTCACTGAAACAGAATTTCTTCAGGCAGTTAAGGATGGATAACATCAGCCAAGGAATGACACA